TTTCCTCATGCTCCAAACCACTCTGAAATCGTTTTCATTGGGTCAGGTGTTGCCCAGGTGGGGTGCGAGCTCCCGGAGGGCAGGGGGCTGGGCTGGACCAAGTTGCTCACTTTAGGTGTTTTGAGGGAATGCAGGCCGCGGGGAGGAGACCTGCCCTCCTCCTTCCCCGGTTCTTGCCCTGCACCTGACCTGGCGCCAACGGTTCGTACCTGGGCCCGAACCGTTCCCCAGACCACCTGGGCGAGTCCCTTCGGCTGTGGGAGTCTGTCCGTGGCCGGCCCCGCTCGCATCTCCCAGTTACGGTGTCTTCGCGGTGAGGGAGCTGAGGGACCGTGCAAGTTCTGGAAACGTTTCGCACCTTTATCAATTCAGGTTGGCCGGAGTCTCCCGAGCACCTAGTGCCTTGTCGGGGAACGCTAACGTCGCAGGGAGGGCGAGGGGGAAACCGGGGCCCGAGCACGCTGGACCAGAAGCAAAGGGAGGCAGCGGCCAGATCGCCAGAAAAAAGAACCGAGCACCACATTAACCTTCAGCTGGCTGCCTCTTGCGCCCCGTTACCTCGCGGCAGAAAGAGGGCCAGCACTGGCACTACGCAGGCGCGAGAGCGAGTCCCCGGCCCGACACGGGTGGGTTTCGACTTCCCAGCGGACTCCCTGGTTCACCTTCCTCTGTTGGCGACTCCTGTACAGGACACTAAAGGGCGCCACCATTCTTCTAGGAAGAGTCCCAGCCGGCGGTAGGGTGGCACGTGCTCGTGGAAGGGGCATCTGCCTCGCACACCCGACAGTCCCACGCGCGGGGGACACAGACCTCGCTGAAACGGGCATGGGGCGCGCCAGTCCCCAGCGCACAGCCCCCTGCTCGTGCCCTGGCCACGCGGCACACTTGGCCACTTTGTGACTGCGGGGCACAAGTTGTGGGTTGGAAGGCCTGTACCGCTCGAGGTCACAGGCGGACTGGACGGCCAGGTGACGAGGCCCGGTGCTCCTGGGCCAGCATGTGATGTCTTCCTCTCTGTCCCTATAATTACCCATTCCCCAATTTTCTCCCTGTCCTCGACCTTTATTCTCAGTCCAGACGGTTCCAGCCCGACGGCAGCCGCCAAATTCACATGGGTGACGAGGTCCTAAAAGTTTCCAGCTACAAACACTTTGCATTTTTTTTCCTTGATCACTTTTTTTTGGCAAGGCGAGACAGCAAGTGGCGTCGGGGGTGGGGGTTAAATGTGCTTTCCTTGACTGCAGCAGAGAAACGCGACTGTAGGGCAAACTCCAAGGGGACGGGGAAGCGGGAGGGAGCCTGAGCCGAACGTGCTCCATCCCCCACTCAGAGCGCTTCAGTCCCTGGGGCACCTCCAGGAACTACTTGCCTAGTGCGTCAGCGAGAGGCTGAACGTCACTTACACGCCCCCTCAGCCTTGCCCGCCTGCCCCCACCCTCTCTGTTCTCCTCCCCCCGTCGAGTGTTCCACCCCGGTAGTGAGACCCGGCGGACCCATGGGGGTTCCAGAGCATGGAAGAGCTAAAAATATAACCAGGCTGTTAGCAACAGCCTTCTCACTGGTCGGGGCGCGGGAAGAGGCGGTGTCTGATTGGGCTTCCGTCCCAACCTCTAGGACTGAAGGGGCCGAGTGCAGAGGAGCCAAGGCCCTTGGGGAGGGTGTGCGTTTGCGCAGTGGCACACTGCAAGGGATACTGGTATTTGTAGTCATTTATTAGAGGCAGCCATAGAACTGTGTGCGACTCCAAATTCTGCCACCATGATACCTTGATCGACAACAAATCTCTTTACATCTTCAAACCTGTTTTCTCATCCTTAAAATAGTGATCATGTGGGGACTAAGTATGATACTGCATGTAAAGCCTGGCTCCAACAGTTGCTATTCTTAAAGGTAAAGGGTTCTGGCCAAATTTCAGCCTACAGATCCTGGCTCAGTTCTGTGTACGTTCCCAGTAAGAAATCTTACAGGACAGAATGATGAGAAAGGTGAGGGTTAGCTGAACGAATTCTCAGTAAGGAGGTATCTCCGTAAGGAGGGCTGGAGTCCATGGTAAGCAGATAAAAGGTAGGCTCTCCAAGTTTCTCTGCAGGCTGAGTGAGGGCACACCAAATTCTCCTAAGGGAGGCGTTTAATTTCTGTCGTGTTTGTGCTTTTATTTGAATCTTCCCTGAACTGCCAGAAACACCATTCCTAAGCAGTATCACTAAAACAAAACAGAGATCTAGCCTCCTTGGCAAATAGGAGTCCTGGTAAAGGGTTAGCATATAAATAGGAAAAGGTAAAATAAAAGGAAAAAACGGTAGTCACCATTCTTAACTGATGTCTCCATTTATGATGTGGTGAGGACATGATTTGCCAGGGCTTAATTGCAAGCTGAATTCCTACTGAAGCATTCCAGAGCCCCACATTTGATGGGGTACACCATGTTTTCAAAATGGTGAGCTTCAGAAGTAAGCAAGTGCAGCAGGGAGAGGGTGAGAGCAACCTCTCTGTTGAGAGTAAGCAAGTTATGCCAGATTATTTGCTGCCCTGACAAGTCAGGCTGGTAATAATTAGCCCCAGTTAACTCAGGGGTGAGTCACAGCCTCATACACACATGCCAGGGTGAGAAATTGTAGTTTCTTTTTAAGTCATCCAAGTAAAGAGTTCCTCAGTTTGATTCTTCAGATCCACTGCTCCAGCTGGGCAGAAGCAGACACGCACAACACGAACTGGTTTTGAAGAAGAGTAGATGCTGACAAATTATTTGCTATTTCACTACAACTGATGTAATTCTAGTAAACAAGTGAAGAAATCTGTCTTTTGCTAAGACACTAAAACTGCAGTGTTCAAAGACAGTAACATTCTAGCCTTGGTGGTGGCAGGCAGGCTGCTCAAGGATAGAGTTGGTAAGGACCTGAATAACCGGCGAAAGATGGGAATTGGGGTCCTTTCTTTTAAGGTAAGAAAATTCCAACCAAGGCAAAGAATCACCTTAAGGTTCTAGCTTCAAACTACTGTTAAAGGGCTATAGTCCAGAATAGAGTGACATAGTCTCTCTGAAACTTTATCAGTTGTTTGATTCCCTAATTTAGAAGTTGCAAATTGGCAGGCAAGGTCCACATCTGGTGGATGTATTGTCTTGGCAGATATTGACAGATTTTTTAGCAAAACATTTTGATCTATATTACACATTGAAACTGAAGTTACTATAGAATTAATGACCAATTTTAAAAATGAGTTGATCACATTTAAACAGTGGAAGGTTGCACAAAAATATCTTAATTTACCACTTGTCCTAAATTCAAGATATGGTAATGCTGGGCATTCATGCTGGCAATTGTCCGGGGTTCAAGAGCAGCTGCCTCCTTTAAGACTACGTTCTCTGGCTCCCCCAAGATCCTTACCACTCTGTTGTCTCCCAGACACTGTCAGAGGATCACATACCATTTATCATCATGTTTGGGCTATTCTTACACCCCTCCCTTTTCAATTATATTACTCACCCAGACTTCTGAGTTTCTGACCCCTTTTTCATTTCAACATAGTAATTGGTTGAGTGGCTGCCTACTGTGCGCCCTGCAGTGAAGGGAGAGGCAAAAGGAGCTCCAGGATCTTATGATCAAGTTCACTGTCTATAAACTCTGGGTTGTGGTCCATTAGTGGGGTCGTAAAAATCACTTGGTTTAATGGATTTCAGCCAGATATTACAGAATAAAATGGAACACAGTGAAAATACCAGAGTGCCGTACACATTCTAAACTTTCACGAAACTCTTGCTTCTTTTGCTACGTATGTAGTAGGCACGAGAACAGTCCAAGCCAGAGATTGTTGTTGGGTATGTACCTCTGGAAGCATCCATGAGATGACAGAAGCTTAGAAGAGGTACTGAGTTCGCTGGCTGACATGAAGGTGGAAGGGTATTTAAAACAAAGGAAACAGCCAAGAAGATGGGGCTGGTGCAAGGAGCGTCCCTTCAACTGCCTGATGAAGAGCACAGAGAGAATGAGTAGTCAAGAACCTTGACGGCAGGGGAATAGAGGGAACCATCTGGAGGACCTTCAATGCCAGGACTCAAATGTTTACCTGTGAGGAATTAGGGCACCATTGTAAAAGAACTACCATTTATGAAAGTCTTACTAGTTAAGCATTAGGCACTTACATGGTCACATTTAATCCTACAAACCAAAAAGGTACACGTTATTATCCTTATTTAATAGATAAGAAAAAAGCAGTACAAAAAGGCTAAATGACTCGCTAAAAGTCAACAGAATTAAAATACAGGCCTGAGTATGAAGTCCACATATTTCTCATTACACTTATTTTTGACTAAAAGCACACATAGTAAGTGCAATGTTTAAAGGAGATTAAATTACCATGTGTGTAGAATGTATTTGGGAAGCTGCTAGCAAGATACCCATCCTTTTTAGAATGTAGAAATAAGTACCAACCACTGAATAGTTAATGAATAACAGTAATAATAATAAATCTAGGAAAGGTAACTCCTTCCTCAGCCTTACCATGATGAGTTCAATTATTTCAACTAGACCTACATGGACAGTGCTTCTTTCAATAATGGAGAGAAACAGTAACTTTTAAGACCATTTTCATTTTTTGAGGCCATACAGCTGGCTGAGCTCATTGCTCTAATTCTTTTCACAGAACTGTATACTGTTAGAAGTTAAAACTTAGCTTGCAAGAGATATTTTCCCAACAGAGAATTTGATGCTATCATTATTCTAAATTTTAAAATAAAAAGGACTTATTCTCCTTTTTGGAGATAATTATCAAGGATTTGAACTTTAAGGCCATTTACTTTATCTCAGGTGTTCTTAACTCATTATGGCATTGTTCTGGCCTCTGAAAGAAAGTAAACCGAGAATGGCATTATGAGTTTAGGAGACAGAGAGGAATACAGCAGAATTCACTGGGCCGAGGTTGGACCTGTGTTATTAGTCCTAAGAGAACAAGCTGCTAATGAACCCCAATACTTCCCACTGCTGACCAGTGTGGAGAGGTATGCCCTTTGAAATCCTACTGGGCATTAATCTTAAACTCCCTTCCAAGACCTTTCAGAGACATAGGTGCTGAGGCTAACAGAGCACAGGTGAGGTGGTGTTTTGCTGAAACTTAAGGAATACTTTGAAACATTTGTTGGATACAAGATGTTATGTGTGTCAAGATGGTTAATAAGCAAATTTTAAAAACTGATTTTTTAGCAAAACATTTTGATCTATATTACACATTAAAACTGAAGTTACTATAGAATTAATGACAATTCTCATTCTAATCTGAAAATGCAAATGCTCTGGTCTCTGCAACTCTTTTGACATACCTTAACTCCCACTTAATGCTTTAGAACTGCCAGACCTCTCCCAACACATTGCCCTGTTCAAACTGTTTTCCCCACATAAATGTCCTTATCTGCCCACCCCAGCCCCTTTGTCGATAGGCTCCAACATACCCTTTAAAAGCCCAGTTAATCTGGTTTGACTTCAATTATTCATTCAATACCAAGCACCTGCTACCTGCTAGGCAGCTCAGTCGGCTCCTGCCATCACCGAACAAGCCGAGTGCGGGAGAGCAGTTAACTACCAAATGCTATCAACAAAATGCTTATGGTGCTGCGTGGGGTTATGACAGGAGGAACTACTTTAGATTGAGGGATGGGAGAGGCATCTTTGAGGAAATATTTAGCTAAGGTCTGAAGGATAAGTAGGCTTTAGTGGAGCAAAAGGTGGCCAAGCATTAGGGAGGGATTAACAGGTAAAAGCACTGAGGCAGAAGGAAAGCTGCAGTCCGAGGAACCGAAACCACCCCAGTGGCAGGTGTGCAGAGAACAGGGTAGCAACAGACAACACGGGGAAGCCCGAAGAAGTATCTTTAGCCCTATGGCTATGACCTTCCCCTAGCCTTCCTGAGGGGCCCCCAAGCTAGGCTAAGAACGCTTCTTTCTTTGTGCTTCCTCAGGTTAAATTGAACTCTTTCTGGCAGGTTCTCTTATTAAATTATTTGAAGGCAGAGATTATCTTAATTCAATTTTGGACATTTAGTACATCACAAATAAGAGTTTTGTGGATCTAAAACAAAACCCTGACGAAGTCAGAAGACTAATTTCTTTCTCTGGCTTTGCCCCTAATCTGCAGTGTAACCTTGGGCCAAGTCCCTGGATTCCCCAGGACTCATCAGCTTTTTCCTATCTGTGGTGTCAAAGACCTACTTGATTGGAAGTTTCAAATTATGAATGTGCCTCCTAAAAGGTAACTTGCTCATCACCTCTACTGGGCAGAAAGTATAGATAGCTGAGTAAAGATAAAGGATATGTCTGAATTTGTCCTTAACCTGCCACTTAAAAAAGAGAGAGCAAAGAAACATCCTTAATGTGAGTATATATGCACTTTATGAAACGAATTGAGTTCAGTTCTCCTAACTCATCAATTTGAATACATCTTGTCTCATTCATTACCTTCACCATTACTGGGAGCCATCTCTTCAATTCAAAATTAAAGTTGGACTGGAAGAAAAACAAGTAAGTTTCTAAAAATGACATTGGTTTACCTGTAATGAAAGGCACGGATGGTTTTGATTTCTTTACAATAGTACTAAGAGAACAAGGTGCTAATGAACCCCAATACTTCTATGTTGGATCACAAATTCCTGGGTGGCTATAATAACTTCCTAGAGTTAAATTTCAATTGGCATGGTGACTACAAGAAAATAAACACCTACTTTATTAATACAATAGCAACAGAAAGGCTTTCCAGTTTCTCAGAAGACATAACATGCGCCAGTACCACCTGGTTAAGTGTTAACAAGATGAAATGCCCACATTGTTGGAAGAGCTCCCCTCCCCACTGCAGATGTTCCACGAAGGACAACTACCATCCAAGCTGCTGTCGGAACATGCTTCTCACTGCAGTAGCTTCAGAGTCAACTCCCCAAACACAAGACTGAAATGCTTTTATTCCTGTTTTAGAAGCTCTTGGTGTAGAGAGAACATACCAATTTGGGAAGCAGACTCCTTGAATTCAAGAAAAACCAAGAACTAATCTGTCAATCTGTCTCTGATACAACTGCCAGAGTGCTCTGTGAGCAATCTTTTCCATTTCTACCACACGACTGGGTGAGGACAGGAAAGGGTGGAAAGGTGCCAGCATACTAACAGATCAGGTGATACTCTGCACTCCCTCCCTCTGCTGGCGGTAGTAGGCGTTTTTTTCTGGAAGCTGGAGCACCTTGATTGGGGGAGGAAGAGGCCCATCAATCACCTCTTCTTGAAGCCATACTTTTTGCGTTCATAGAAGAGATCTGTCTTAGAACTCCCCAAATTGACAATCTTTGGGCAACCATCTCTCTAGGAAACAGAACAGAGAAGTTGTTAAATGTTTGAGCCTGAATTGAGAGGAATTTAAGATAAACACTTTTACATTAATGGTTCTGCCATTCATCTTACCAGGTGTCAATTCAATTTTATTCAATCGTCAGGAATTTACTAAGCACCTAGAATGTATCCATAGCCTGTCGAGCCTCTACCCAGTGGCCTTCCTTTAGAATATTAGATTATCAGCTCACCTCTGCTGCTAATGTGATACAGCTGAAGTAGAATCTAAGACTCTAAAGCTATCCAAAGGGTTTTCAAGTGAGGTAAGAAACAGTAATAGTCATCTACAGACCAAGCTCTCTAGTTCTCCTCCACACAGGAGAGAATACCACCAAGGAAAAAAGACTAAAGACTCTAGGAAATAGTAACTTACATTTTTGTAAATACCACAGGGAATGCTGTGTTTGATGTGTCCAGCATTAATCCACTTAACATGACACATGGTCTTGGGGGAAAGGAGTACTAGGATTGCTGTTGACAGGCCACACTCTACAAGGACATGCTCTCCTGGCCCTTTTGTGAGCTTGAGTGGTTTCAGGGAAGCCCCTGGGAAGCTGTGTTCTACAGAAATGATGACTCCATCAGTTGCTCTGGATGATGGGAGGAACACTGGGGAAGACGCTACTGGAAAACACCTTCAGAGGTCTGATTTTATTCAATACCCATGTCAAAGGAGATTGCTTCCCGTGACAGTGGACTACAGAATGAACTAACCAAGTCCTTAGACATCACATTTCTAATTCAGCTGATATATCTTTTGGGGTACTGGTATCAACACTTCACAAAAACCTCTGAAAATGCACAAAGCCAACACTAAAACTTCACTATTTTCTAGAAAACAGGTATCACATCACATATTAAACTGAGAGCTACTGTCTGTGGAGCCTGGTGTGCTGAGGGAGCCAGGCAGTGGACTCAGCCCCTCCATGGCTCACTAGGTAAACTCAAGTAACCCATGTCATCTGTATGGGAAGTCCTGGTACAAATGGGTGAATAGCTGCCTCTCCTGATCCAAGGTAACCTGATACTAAGCATTAACAGTTCTCCAAGATCTTTGGAGACACTGAAATTTTGAGGCTTGATGGTAGCCTATTAAGGCTACCATGCCTTACGGACTTGTGACTGCGGGCAAGTCACTTCTTTTTGGACTCATGTTCCCCAACTGTCAAATAAGGGGACTGAATCAGGTCAGCATTTATAAACTCTATTTATAGAACCCTGGCAAGTCCTGCAAGGTGCCAGGTGATGTAGAACTCATCTCTCCATCTGTGCAGCTCCCTATTAACAGCTTAGTTGGTATGTAAATAGCCCTTAAGAAGTTATAAGAAATTGCCAAAATCAAGTATCAGCAATTACATAATGGTTTAACCTAACACATACATATACACAGCTTCTGTGTAAGATATTTTTTGAAGAGTACATATTTTTTAAAAAGCTGGAAAACCAGCGCATTAGACTATCAGATCTTTGGTTTTTATGGCAGTTTCTGACTCACAGGATTCCTGTTTTCTTGCCTGAATGACCGTTTTTTATTTCTACACATGTCCCAAGGGTCTCATGGTTGTTCCGTTAAGCCCCCCAATGCTGGGAGCAGCGAGGGTGTGCTCACTGGGACTGGCTAGCTTTTGGTGAATATGCCTGTGAATGGAGAGCATGAAAAGGGAGATGGAAGGACTGTCTAAGAAACTTGGGAGGTTGGTACAGGAGAGTATTTGTGAGGTGAGCCAGAGGATATTTAATACTGGCAAGTGTCTGTCTCATGGCAGTAGCTCTTTTATCAACGGTATGCCTGAATACTAAAAATTTCATCCTTTCTCAGTCTTCCCAGAAGACTGACATTTCCCAATTCCTAGCACAGGGAGCGTCTACTTTAGGCAGCTATGGCTTGAATTCACTGCCCATGGTAAACATTTTATAGCCACTTGATTTCTAAAGTTTCACAAAAAAGTAAGACTATGAAGTGCTTGTTCCTATAATACCAAACATGTCCACTAAAACATTCCCAGGAGAACCCTAAGCTGGCTCCTGTAGCAGCCACAAAGGAGAACTCAACCCATGTGGGTTTCCTTCCTGACGGCTGCTTCAACTCCATTTCTACAGTAGAAAGAGAGCTACAGGTTACCTGAACCAGTGATAAAAAACCCAGGACTTTCAAGTTATACTTTAAAATCAAAACTAATTGTGTACCAAAATATAACATACCAAATGGAAATGTGTGCAGAACTGAGACACAGGAAAAGGCAAGTTAAAAAAATTTGAGATCAGAAAAATAGAATTACTGAAAATGGGTACACATTTCTATTTCTTACAAATGGTAGCCAAGACTTATGAGTGGGTGCTAGTGGCAAGATCTGCTTTATTAACAGAAACGAAACGTCTTTCATTCTTTCAGCAGCTGTTTAGTGAATACCAATGATGTAAATAGCAGTACACTGATTTGGGACCTAAACAATGCAATTATGTTTTCTATCTGAAACTTTTATTTAGACTGTCAAGCTCTCAATAAATGCATCTGTGGGATAACAGGGATTACTACTTCCTTTTTGTGGTGATTTCCTCAAATCTGCACACAGCATGTTAGTAGCAAAGCCGAGACTTGAACACGGGCTTTTGGGCTCTTAGTCCATTATTTTTTCTTACATGCTTCCCAGAGGCAAAAAACAAAACTTTCCCATGGTCCAGCAAGTTGTAAAGAATGATACATTTGTGAATTTTGAAAAGTTTCACATATCTTTTGTATCTAACTGCTGTGTTATTCTCTTAAATAGGGAGAAGAAAATGGTAGAAGTATCAGGAGAGGGAGAGGTCCATCCTTTAAAGCACCTGAGAAGAGCAATAGTCAGGTGGTCCAAGCACTTTAAGTTAGAGCATGCATTCTTAAAGGGGATGAAAACATCTTTGGTATTATAGTGGTTTGTGACCTAAAGCTCATTCTTACCCAACAAAACCTTATCCTCAGGATTTCTTGTTAGGGAGAGGTTTTAACTTAAACTTCTCCTTAGGGGACTAATAATGAAAAAAAAAAGTTGAGAAATACTAAGTCAGCAGACCTGGGTTCTAGTCCTGGATCTGCCACTTAATTAGCCAGGTGACCTTGGGCCAAGAGCTTATCATCTCCTAAGCCTTCATTTCCTCATCTATGTAATAAAAACTTTTGGAAAAGAATGTTCGGCACCGTTCCTGGCACTTAGCAAGAGCTTCATAAATGTTAGCTGCTACTTTTCTAGTTGGGAGAGTTGAGGAAAATGGTAAATAAAAGGAGTACAGGAAGCAGGGGTTATGGGGGATCAATATGATGCTGCACTGTAAGAAACCACAACCTAGTTTACAGTGCCCTGACTTCTGGGTAGTCTTGAGGCTTTGAAAAACTGTAATGAGAACACCCAACTTAGCTCACTGGTTTAATTCCCTTATAAATTATGAAAGTTGCAGGAAGAGGAGAACAATAAGCCAAGGTTGCTTTGGCTGCCGGAAGATTTCTGCATAGGAAAAAGTCTTAGGCACTTATCTACATGATGATCTGTAAGTCTGAGAGGCTGGATCATGTCACTGGACTGCTCTGTGCTCCTTGGAAACTATTTCTGAGTAAATGTGAGCTACATGCCATCTCAAATATCCTCAGACTAGTCCTTTATAATAGGAAGTAGGGGAAATAATGTATAGAGTAATTCACAGGGACAGAATGAGGCACAAGGATCCAAATGTATCAGGTCACACACCGCATGCAGAGTCGTCAGACAGCAATTAACATTTATTAAGCACTCTGGTTGCAAGTTTATTCCAGATTAGAACTCTGGCTACAACCATGCAAAGACTGAAGAGAACTGTTCTTAATGTACTCCTGAGCTAGTTTAAGACTTTTCATACTTCCTTTTTGCTGCTGTTGTCTCACCATGGTTTCACTGCTTATAGACTATATACACAATCACCAAATCTCTACAATATATCAGACACTCTATAAGGGGGAACTCCAAAAATGCAGACCATTAGAAAAGGACAGTCACAAAAACCAAGGTCCCAGAGGAGTCTAACCTAGCTGGAAGATCAGATCAAACAGTATATGATTCAATAATGTAAAAATTTGATAATGCAAATGATAAAGGTAAATGCACATCATAATTTATGACAGGACAATATTTAAGTCACCAACCGAAATCATGCTTTTGGTACTTTACCTGTGACCCTTCTCATCTTCCTAAATAGAAGACTTAATGGTGTAAGAAACAGTCTTATTTGGCCTGCTATGTTCCATTTACTTGGCATAGCCAGGACCCAAATGTGTAAACTGCTGAGATGCCTCGGTTGTTTGTCTTCAACATGGGCACATCCTACCAAAGAGACTTATGAATGGACAAAAAGGTGTAACAGGGACACCAGTAGCTTTAGTTAGACAGCCTGGGCTTGCCACTTACAAGCTGGGTGAGGGACTGTAAAATGGGGATAATTCCTATTTAACAAAGTTATTGTGAATAAGGGTGATAACATTGATAAACTACCTACTCTTTGTTCATGGGGATATTAAGAATCATGTATCTTTTGCCTTATCCTTGGTTAGGTAACCAGCTACCTTCTATTAGCCTAGTGGTACTATATCACACTTCTTTTTATTGTCATAAGAAGACAAGCTGATTCATGGGGTTTCCCCCCCAAGAACCCTGCTGCTTCTAACCTAAGGAAAATCAGTAAAAGTTGCCTTTGGTATAGATCTATGAGTTTGGCAACAGGTTTGAATGACTAGTCACTGCTCCCACATGTCAAGGGACAAAAATATCATGAGACAGAATCACAATTATGCATTATGAAGCCAAAGGCATTCTTTATCCACTTAAAGCTGTTGTCCCAAATTCAACTTTGTCACTGCATCTACCCAAAAAGTACTTAATGAGAGTAAAAAGAATTACTGAGTGGCTATCACACACCAAGCACTGCGTAAGGACCTCCAAAATGCAGGATGTTGTTTCTCAATAAAAATAATCAGACATCCATCAAGGAAGGTTCTCCAAATTTATGTTGACAATTTGCTTCTTTTGTATTTTTGATATGTCTTGATGCCAAATAACTGCCTTTTATTAGACTACACCCAGTCTGTCTCACAAAACTTTAAATATAACCTAGGTGACTAGCTAAACATAGTACTCTCCAGACCATGGCAGTTTGCTGTGGATGGCAAAGAGTAAATAACAGAAGGAAAGATCAGATGGAAAGCTTAGAATTTACCCACATCCTTCTCCTGGATGGTGCATTCCTTACAATAATACGCATCCGAGACTCCTGGGCCTCCACAGATCACACAGCGCCCCTGGTAAGAGCCATAGTTACACTCATCACATATGCGCACCAGGGTGCAGGGCCGCACATAGGAGTCACAGATCACACACTTGCCATCACCTGTAAGGAAGAGAGAATGAAGTTACGCTCACTTCCAAGTACCTCTTCAAGATCTCTGCCCTCCTCCCAATATGGGAAAATACACTAGTCTCCTCCTCGCAGTGGCTTTAGGATCCTCTACTTTGGCATTACTAAACTTGGCCTACCTAGTGTACATCTCGATATCAATACACAGGAAGGGTTAATCAACAAATGTATAAAGAGCTTAGAACAAGACCTGATAGATGGTTAAGTATTTAATTACCAGCAGAAAACTGTGTATGTGTTGGGGATGGGGTCATGCTATTTCCTGTCCAAAGCTAAAAATTTTATGAAAACCTAAACATGTTTAAATACACAAGATGGAGTGGGGAGTGGCGTGGGCCTCCGGTTGCAGCCTGGCGTTGTGTTCACAAGCTTCCAGGCACATCTACTCAAAGCCCTCTCTGTAGCACTGCTGGACATTAGCCTTCTGCTGGTTCCACAAAACTGTAAGTGGGAGGGTCGAGGTGTTTGGGAAAAGCGTGTTCCACTCACATTTTTCACACAGTCTTCCGATGGCTGCAAGATCAAATAAGGCAGAATACAATTAGAATTAAGGTTTTGAAGAACATCCTCGAGTTTGGGGTGGGGACAGAGGCAGGGGCTGCAGGGGGCCCTGAGGGATTTTTATCCTTGTCCTCACCCTCCTGAAGCCGCTCCCCGGTTCTGGGCAATCTGAGTTTCCCCGGACCGCTCCCCAGCCGCCCTCCTCCCGCCCCAGCGCGCGCCTGCCCGCTCTCTTCACTAGGCCACAAACCCAGGCGCTGCTCCGCTACCGACCGTGAAGCCGGAAACGTGGCGCCTTCGAGGCAGGATCCTAAGGAAGAGTTGGGAACCTCCGACCCTCCAGCTCTTGACACCACCCCGACCCAGACAGCCGGGCGCAGTAAGCTGTCTCACCAACACCAGCCTGTTTGCGGCAAAATATCAAGTCCGGATGATGTTTAGCCATTGCTCCCGCTCAAGTCGGCCACCGGAAGCTTTGAGAACTTCCGTCCGACCTTCAACCCCCATTTGTTCCTGCCTCCTCGTCTCTGTGATTGGTCCTCGAGGCTTGCATCAGCGTTTGGGCTCTTGCCACCAAGGACCTCTCGTTTTCGCGCGATGAAAACCCTTAAGTTCTACAGACGAATTTCTTCTTAGCTGCAGAGGGGTTAGGGTCCGGGCCTGTGCGTGAAAATTAAAAGAAAGACTTCTCCCAGATTTAGATGGAAGAGACAACTGAAATTTGCACTTCGTTAAGCCATCATTGTGCTCGGCATTTATTTCCACAAGTGTTTTTATGCATCTCTTTCCACTTCAGGATCCGTTTGTAACACAGGAGCCGCGCCTACTACGCTGGCAGGGCTTTGGCACCTCCTTGCGGAGGCCCCGCCTTCACCATGACGCGTTTCCCGTCAGGCCGCGCCCCAGCGCGATGGCTATAAATAGGCCGTGTGGTACGTCACTTTCACGCGACCTCATCTTTGTCAGTGCACAAAATGGCGCCTTACCGCCTGCTGGTGACCCGGCTGCAGGTGAGTGAGTTCAGGGTCCTCTGGGTTCACAGGGGTGGGGTGCCCCCTACGGTGCCTGAGGCTTTAGCCTGGGCAAGGCGAGGCGGACCCAAGCTCTGGCCGTCTTTTTATGTACGTGTCACGGCCGCGGGCCCCGCTCCCGTGTCCGTTCTTCTCGTGCCCGAGGTCAAGGAGTCCCTGGCTCAGTTAGCTCTCCCAGCCTTGTCCCCGCCCCGCGGGAAGCGTGGGTCCGAGCAGCGACGGCCAGGTGAAGCGTGAAGACACCTCTTTATTCTTTCAGAAGGTCGCATTCCCCTCTCCCGTGGGGTTTCTTTTCGTTCCTCAAGGTGAGGACAAGGTGACTAGGGGGCGCGGTCGTTGTTAAGCCCTCTAGGCCCAGAGCGTGAAGACCGCACTTACCATTCTCTCAGCAACAGAGACTTGGTAGTCAGGTGCATGTACGGTTGCTAGGTTTGGAGTCTGGAGAAGAAACTAGAATCTTATTGCATCTAAAAAGTGTCCTGCGGAACATACAGCCAAGAAGGCGAGGGCATCTTCCAGGCCCAGACGTAGTAAATAGTGGCCTTTCACCTTTGCATAAGATTGCAAGACTGTTTTAATTCCTCCTCATATCATTTGATTTATATGATCATCTGGTGAGATGATTATTCTCATTTGGTAGGTGAATGATACTGCTAGAAAGTAGATGAAAGTTTCTGCTGAGTGTCTCTGAAGTGCTGTGGCCTGAGCATCTGCTCTTCTTATCCTTCTGTTTTCCTTATTCATGTCAGCCTGTCCTCACGGAACTTTCTGAGCCGAAATATGATCTTTGAGGTAACAATTGTATTTGTGAGAGTACCAGAAATGGAGTGTTCTGAGCTTACAGTGAGTTGTTTTTCAATTACTAGATGGCAGAGTAAAGATACTCAAGGGTTTGACCTTGACTCTCCTCTTATGAACCATCTAGAAAATTGACTGTGACTGCCACATGTTTTTTTCACTTCTAATTTGACAACCCCAGGAAGGTTTAAGGTCAAGCAGATATTTGGTTAATAAAAATAAAGCAAACATTTGTAGACATTCTCTGACAACATTTTACATTTAACTTTGTGAATCTACTTTGAATTAAGCACAACTTCTATTATAGGATTAAAAAAGAAGTTATGTGTTGTAGTCAGGAAACATTGTGTTTTCATAAGTTTTTTTTTTTAATCTTATTGTTTATAAACTATGTGGTTTAAAGTGAAGTTATCATTTATCTTAAAGACTTCTGATCTCTCACTTCTAGGCAAAGACAAGGGATTTTTCCTAATCATTTCTTCAGATCTTTTGATTTTATAGGTTAACAATGTAGAAATTGTTGTTTTTCCCTGATCTTGCTGTTCATGGTGAAGTCAGGCAAGATTATTTGACAAGAAATGGTTGCATATTTATATAGCTTGGAATAGAAGACTAATATCACAGTATTATTGAACTGAAGAAAGATCTTGGAAAGCATGAGTGTTTAGACTTGTATAGAAAGAGGTCTGGGCCATAGTTCGTATTCTTCCCTGGCTCTGACCTTGAGCAAGTTAATTCTGAATCCCAGTTTCCTCATCTGTTGATTGGGGGTGATCTTCAGTGACAAATGTTTATTGAGTACTTGTTAATCACTCCCACTCAGATTTTTATAAAGTGATGAGAAAGTAGAATATATTTATGATCTTCGTGTATTTCAACTTCCTCTTTTACAGATGGATAATCCAAGACCTTGAGATCCTGGGTGATTTCCAGTGACAGAATCAGTATTAAAATCCAAGTCTCCTTGTTTGTTCATTCACTGAGATGGGTGAACAGCATTATACAACACCACTTTCCAATAGCCAGGTTGTCTTAAGTAATGGCCTGCTAACACTGCCCTCAGAGAACCTTGTAAATTACCTCTTGTGTTTAGCTACCTTTGAGAAGTGATGATGCTATCTTAGTTGTCACCTCTGCAGAATCCTGTCTGTGCTTTCAATTTATTCCTCCCTCATTCACTGCATACTTACTGAGCACCCAAATGCTTGCCCTGGATGCAGTGATAAGCAAAGCAGACAATTCCTGTTCTTGCAGACTTCCCCTGTAGTCTAATGTATTCCACTGCAGAGCGCCTTGGAGATCTTTCTTAGCCAAAATATTTTTCTTCTGCCCTTAGCTAGACTAAAGGTGAAGGTAGATAATACAGTGATGGCAATTACTACTACCACTAAGAGAAGCTAACATTTACCTTACTCTGTGCCAGTAATCTCATGTGACCCTGCGAGGTAAAGGCATTGTATACCTTCTGTAGTTGGTTCTTGATTTGAACTGAGTGAATGAATGAGTGGGTGAGTAAACTTCAGTCTCAGATTTGGGCAGAGGGAGTAGAACCACCATCCTGAGGACTAGGAGAGCTCACCATTGCCTTTTGGACCAACTGTTACCAAATATTTATTGAAAACTTGCTATATTCCTAGCACTGTTCTAAACACTTGGAGTACAGCAGTGAACAAGAATGGAGAGCTTATATTGTAGTTCTGGGGAGGCAGAAAATAAGTAGACAAATAAGAAAAGTGTAGTTACTAAGTGCTTAAGGACAGTAAAATAGGATAGTGCGGAAGAGAGAGTAGGGGTGAGAAAGTAGTGTGGCTTTAACTGGGGTGGTTGAGAAGGCCCCCGAAGAGGTGCCATTTGAGCCGATACTTAAATGATAAAAAGCCCTTCAGCATTTTGGGAGAAGAGACTTCAAGCACCTGAGATAGGTATGAGCTTAGTGTGTTGAAGATAAGCAAGGCCAGTGTGGCTGACATGTCTAAAAGGATAGTCTGAGTAAGAGGTGGGGGCCAGGGCAATATAGACTTGGATTTTTACTTCCGAGTGTAATGAAAATCTACTGGAGTGGCGGGATCTGATTTATGGCTGAGAAAATTTTTTCAGGTTGCTGCATGGATGGTGGCCCATGGACAAAAGAGGAGGCAGGGAGATGAGAACCAACTCTTGGAATCATCCAGGGAGTAGTGAGGGTATCTGGGATAGGGTTCTGGGAGCAGAGAGATTTTGGAGGTAGATGGGTTGGATGTAGAATGTGAAAGATAGGGAATAATTAAAGATGACCCTGAGATTTGGGACCTGAGCAACTGAGGGATGGGTGAACTTGAATTTAGTAGTCCTGTGTTTGCATAGTGCTTGTAAGACTGAGGTGAGGGCTGAAGCTTGTTTATAAATTCTTGGTCCTTTCATCAGTTTTCAACAAGTGCCTGTATTTTACAGGTTGGGAAGCTGGATGGGATCAAGTGTTTGCCCAGGATTCCTTGCTTAAGTATGAGCATCATGCCTGAGGCGAGCCCTTCACTGGCCTTATTCTGGTACCCGGTGTCCCTAGGAGGGAAAGTACTTAAAATAAGTGTTATTGCTTGTCTGTTTTCATTGGCTCCAGCTTACTTTGACATACCTAAGTTTCCCAGCACCTGGTTTGGAAGGCAGTGGTGGGCTCTGGGCCCTCAACATAAAGGAGGGGAGGGACTTCAGGGAGGCTGCTTGCAGTCTTTAAAAAGTAGAATACAGAATTTCAAAAACCTTAGGGAAATTTTATCTGACACAGACTTACTGAATGGAATCAAGCAAGACCTTAACTCTCTGTGGCCCTCAGGTTACGTATCTGTAAAATGAAACAATTAATAGCTACCCTTCAGTTAAGAAGGGTCCTGAAGGCTTAGTAGTATTTGAAAAGTTCTGTGAATTCTGATGTGCTGTAAAAATTTGTGAATAGTTTCTGATGTTATTTTAGCAATAGGTCCTTTCTAACATTGAGAATAGGGGCAGAGTTTTTCATCTGAAATGTTCCAGATGAACCTGTAGAAGCTCTTCTTTATCTGGGGGTGGGGTGGGGTGGGGTGGGCCTAAAAAGCATGGAAATGGTTTTCTTGGGTTCATTCCACAAACTTGGGCCCAAGGAAAGGGTACCAGCTTTGGAGCCAGGTCTGGAATTGTACCTTTGCTGTGTGGCCCTGGGCAAGTTAACAGTCTAGAGCCTCAGTTTCCTCATCTGTAAAATGGGCACAGCACCTCCTACCTCACAGGGTAGTTATATTAAATGGGACTATGTGTATAAAATACTTGGAGCAAATCTGGCCACAGAGTGTGGGCACTTGGTGAATGTTAGTTTCTGTCACCAGCCTTGGGGATATCTTATAACCTCTGTCACTCCAGGTGAGTGACAGCTCATATGTTTTTCCTCAGCTCATATGTTTAAAAACGACTGGCTCTAGGGAAATTGTTTGTTCCTCCTCTAATCTATATGAATTTGGGGTATGCAGTTTTTTTTCAGGAAAACCTTTTGGTTACTGTCTACGAGAGTTGGGAGAAGAGGTAGAAATGAATCTTCTGGCTTCCCCTTTTTTCTTCTCTAAGTTGAAGGGCAACTTTGGGAAAGTGAGCTCTAGAACTACATTTGCAGCATTTTCATCATTGAATGTTAGAGTTGGGCCCTTGGAGAATTTAGGCGCAGTAGGAGTATTTCTGCCTTTACTGTAGAGGTGGAGACAGTTTCTGATGGGGAGCTTTACTTCTATGGCCAGCCATGGGAGGGACCAAAGAAGTCTCAGGAGTTCCTTTAACCCCTTGCACTTACGGGCCGTGTAGCTGGGCTCCTCCACCTTCTGCTGGACATTTGTGTTGTTACTGTTGTTTTATTCTTCCCTGAGAGAGCTATATAGCCGATGTAAGACAAAGGCCCTTCCTGTGAAAGAGCTTATGCGCTGGCGAGGAAGAAGCACTTTGTAACTGGACCATCCCTGGCTGAAGCAAGGAGGGGAAGGAGTGTGCTGGGCAGGGTTACATCCAGACTGGCCCCTCCTTAGACCTGATGTTGTGGCGGCATGTCTAGTCTGCTCACACTGTGGCTGGCATTTGAGATACCGATGTTGAGCAGCTGGGCACGCTGTACCAGCTGCTAAACCAAGTCTTGTTTACAAATACTGCCTCATTTGTCCTTCACAACAACCCTGAGAAGTAGGTGTCAT